GGGGGGCCCTGCCCGCCCCTCCCCCCCGCAGCACACAGTCAGTGGGGAGCCCACCCCACCCCTCCATCTTCCCCCACCCGCAGCACGCAGACATTGGGGGAGGCCACCACACACCCCTCCTTTTCCTTTCTCTCCCCCCTCCAGCACACAGACTGGGGAAGCCACTACAAATCCCTCTTTTCCTCTCCTGCCCCTCCGCAGCATACAGAGGAGAGGACACCACACACAGACTGGGGAGGCCATCACACACCCCACCACCGCCTCCCTGCAGCACACAGACTATGGAGACCACTACACAGCCTCTCCTCCTCCCCTCCCCCCTCTCCATCACACACACAGACAGGGGAGGCTACTACACAACCCTACCCCTCCACCTGGCAGTGCAAAGTGAGTAGGGCACCACACACCCCTCATCAAAGCAGAGCAGGGGTGGGGGAAATGTTGTATGCTCTACGGTCAGTGTTCCCTGTAAGCTGTGCACCAGTGTGGCAAATGTCACCTAGCTTATTACGGGAGCACCCACAGCTCATTTTTGTTTTTACTGCTGGTGCACATTCACATATACCTTGGTGCACATAACATTTTGTTCCACATATGGATGGAAAACTTTGCACATGGATGAACCAGATTAAGGGGGACATTGCCAACTGCCCACCTCCACCACACACAAAACCACTCCTTATCCAACAGACTGGGAAGACCTGCTGCACACCCTTCAGTAATCACACACACTGAAATAGGTCAGGTCACTTCAAACCCATTCCTTCCTTATCACACAGTGGAGGGAAGCCACTACACACCCATTCTCTCTTCCTGATATCACACTGAGAAAATTGGCAGACACTCCTCCTAATAACACATGAGTAGGGCCCTATCAAATTCATGGCCATGAAAAACAGGTCACAGACCATGAAATCTGGTCTTGTGTGCTTTTCCTTACTCTTGTGTGCTTTTACCTTTGCACTGCCTGCAAAACAGCTGGAGAGCGTAGCTGTTAGTTGGCTGCCCTGCTCTGACGGCAACACTCCAGTAAAGCAGCAGTGTGTACCAAACCAGACTACTGCCTCCATAGCTGGGTCCTCAGTCAGCAGTAACCAGCCTCTGGCCATCCTAATAGGCCTGTGGCAGCTCCTTCCCAACTGATAGAGAAGAGGCCTTTAGCATTCTAGAGTTTACATGTGTGTCTTCTCATACCCTCTTGCTGCTGGCTGGTCTGACTGTCACACACTACTCCCACACACATACTCAGCTATGTGGGGTTGGGCTACTTGGGATGACAAACAGTGCACCCTTGACAGACCATCAGCATTCCCATGGTGTGTCAGGAGCTGGAGTTACAGCAACTAATAGGGTCCTATGCTGGGGTCCAGTGGAGAGGGAGGGCTTGGACTCTCCTGCCGGAAGATTTAACGCTTTCCCTTGTCTCCTATCTCTCACCAGGGAGCTACACTGCCCTACAAACTGGGGTGAATTTATGGACTCTGTAACATGCACTGGATTGAGTTTATTGACTTGGCCATATTTCCCTGTGGACCAGGGAAAACTTACTGACCAGTGGGCGGTTGTAACATGGTGCGGTTCTCACCACCACAGCACCTCCTGCTGGTCAGTTTGGGAATTAGCTCTGTTCAACACTGGAGCTCCCTTTTCTCACTGGCGTCTGGCTGTTTTCTGTTAATTATTCTGCCACCTTATGTGAGGACCTGTGTCCCTCCCAGATCATGATGCCTTTACCTGCAGATGCAGCTGCTAGACAGTGACCCCATGCTCTGGGATCTCCCCTCCCAGGAAACCTACACCCCATTTCCCCTATACCCACCTTGCCTCAGTGACCATCTTGCCAGTTGTCATCTAACCACTTACCTCAGGGGCAAACTGCAGTCTGACATGGCCACTCATCATAGACAAGGGGATGTGGACCTGTTGCCTTTGCCTGCCCTGGCTGCCTTCCCAGAGCCCTAGTATCCCTCAGGCCCCTGTCACTGGGCCTCAGCCTGGGACTACTCAGGCTGGAGCCCCCTGGCTCACCCTCCCTTTCCACAGCACTGTTCTGTTTGTGGTACCCTGGCTAGCAGGCAACTAGGTCTTTCTCCCTCCAGGACTGAAGTGAGTATGCTCAGCCTGGCCAGCCATCTCTTTTATACAGCACTCCTGGGCTCTGACAGGCTGCCACAAGGCCTCTCATGATTGGTCCCCTATACACAACCCTCTCCCAGGGCTGTTTTAACCCTTTTTATGCCTGGAGTGGGGTGACCGCCCCATTAAAGCCACAAGACTGAAAGTGGACCTATAGACATGGGTTGGGGAGAATGAGGCAAGGAATTGCATGTGCACTCCACAAGGGAGACAGGTATGCTCACCCTGCACTGGGCATGGTCTTTCCCCAAATGCATTACAGTGGACAAAATCTGTGCTATTCCTAATTTTTTATTAGATTGTCTATCTGGGATATAGGCTATGCATCTAACTGGGATACCCTATTTAATTTCTGGAAGTCATTGTAGAATCTCATGCTGCCATCTCGCTTAGGTACAAGGATGATGGGACTGTACCATTGACTATGGGAATCCTCCAGGACTCCTAGCTCCAGCATTTTCCTAACTTTGGTCTTGGTCTTTTCTTTCTTCTGGGATCCAGTATGGTTTAATATTTGCCTTTACTCGAGAATCTGTGATGTGATGATGAATTTCTGTTTTCCTGCTTAGTTTCTCAAAGAACATGTCATGATTCCATTCAATTAAATTGATGACTTCTGCTCATTACTTAGGGGTCAATTCAAGGAATGTCCCTTATAGCAAACATCAATTAAAATGCAAGTTGTCCTAATTTTTCCCATCCTGACTCACCACTCTCTTTATCATATTCTTCAGTGTCCTATTAGAGAGTTCAGTCTACCACCCTCAGACTGATGACCTTCTTGATGTTCTTAGAAGAATGCACTGCAAGTCTTTCATCACAAGACACAAGTCTTTCATCAACTTTGACATGAAGGGGTTTCCCTGGTCCATCAACATTTCTTTGGGAATCGCTACCCTCAAGAATATTTGAATTCATTCTTTAGCAATTGTTTTGGACATTGTGCTTTGGAGAGAAACAGCCTCTGGGTATTGGGTGGTGTATTCCAGAATTAGTACATTTTGATAGCTATGAGATAACTTCTTCAGTGGGCCTATCAGATCCATCACTATCCTCTCAAACAGGACTTCAGTAATCTTTAGAGGTACTAAAAGGTCCCTTACGTGTGGTCGAGTTCCATATAATTGGTATTCTGGGCAGCAGCCACAATACATTGGCCCTCCATATAAATTCCTGGCCAAAAGAACCTCTGAAGGATTTGAGTGAGGGTCTTACCTACCCCTTGATGTCCTTTGAACAAAAACTGTGAGCAAAGTCCAACACTGCCCTCTGGTGCCATCAAGGTAATACGAGCTGCTCCACTTCTTGCTCTTGCATTCTGGCTACTGTATATAAAAGGTCTTTTACCATAAAGTATGGCTACAGGCTTTCGTTTTCCCTTGTACTATGATCCCATTCACCTGAGCTACTTTATTGCAAATATTATTATATATTGGATCATTGGCCTGATACTGTCCAAAATGTTCAAGCAAGGGTTCAATATGCCCAAACTCAAGGAGACCTATTTCTATTTCCCTCTTGAGGGGAGGCCCAAGACAGCTGATCCTGCTCCACTAGTTTTCCCAGGACTAGTGTGACAGCACTTACAGAGTCCACTAAAGCAGTGGTCTCTATGCCATTCATCTTAACTGGCTGTGTGCATCTATGGGGGGAACATTGCAACTTCTGCAATGTTTAAATTACATGGATCCTCAAAATACAGGACTATGTAGCACTTTAAAGACTAACAAGATGGTTTATTAGATGATGAGCTTTCGTGGGCCAGACCCACTTCCTCAGATCAAATAGATCCTCAAGATTTCCTAGATTACATTGCATGGGCTCTTCCACATTAGGAATGTTAAATTTAGTTTAATCAACTAATTGACTGGTTGATGGATTTTTCCATCGACTAGTCGATAACTGGGAGAGCTGCAGCAGGGTTAGCTCCCGGCCCAGGAGCTAATCCCCCTGTGGCTCTGCCTTTTAAATGTATTAAGAGCCACTAGGCTTTTAATACATTTAAAATGCTAAAGCACAGCAGGGGGTCCCAGTGTGAGCTGGGACAGCTGATTCCCGGATCACCCAGGGCACCCCCCCGGTGCACCAGCTTTTTAAATGGGTTAAGTTAAAATATCTTAATCATAATTGTATGTGTATTGCACAGTGTCAGTAGGGTCAAAGACATCAATAAATGATAAATTTCTTAAGGGCCCCATTTAGAAATTAATTTTAACTAACATTTATTTGTAAATTTTTAGAAATTTAATTCTGTACTCAAAGAGTAAGTGTTGTAAAGTACGTGTATTTTTCACACATAATAATTAAAAAGTTGAATCCCTGCTTGAAGGGTAAAACAACTCACCTTTAACTAAGGCAAGGGTCTCAAGCTTCCAGCCTGTAGGCCATTCCTGGCCAGAGCAATTGTACAATCTGGCCCAGGAGTCTGGGTGGGCCAGCAAGGCGGGCCATCAGTTACTGTTCCCCCAGTCTCACCCCTTCCTACAACTGGGCTGCCTTCTCCTTTTCATGGTACCCCATCCCCTGATAACATGGCTTCAGGGATCACCGGGGGACCTGGTGCAGTGCAGCAGCAGTGGTCAACATCCTCCCTGCCCCCTCCCACACACACACTTCCTGTGGTGGCAGGTGCACACTCATTAGGCGTGCTTGCTCCACTTCCTGCAGCTCCTGCCATTATGAATCTCATCTAGCATAGCCCATGCTCATCTAACTGGATGGTCAGGTAGTTCCCTCTGGCTTTGAAATCTGTTTATTCATTATAATAGATCTTGAGGCCAGGGAACTATTGGGTCATCTGGTCAAACCTGTGGCATAGCACTGGCCATAATGTCCCCCCCACCCACTTATCCTGATATTGAGCCCAATAACTGTTTTGACTAAAGCATATATTGAAGAAAGGCATCTGGCTGTGATTTGAAGATATGAAGTGATGGAGAATCTTCCACTTCCTTTGCATGGTGAGGTGTCTGACCCACACAGGGAAGAAAATTAGCTAAAGCAGCCCTCAGAGGCTTTGCAGAACCCTAGCCAATAAAAAGGGGCTTGCTGATTCAACCAATAGAGGGAAAGCTTCTTTGGGCAGCCAATCAGGGCCAGGGAGTGCCATTATTAGAAGGGCTGCTCAGCAGAGCAGAGTCTCTCCGTGGCATCCTTAGTTCTTATGCCTTTCTGTGCAATGTTAAAGAGTCCTTTAAATTCTGTCTCCTCAATATTTATATATTGTAGGCAAGACCAATGTCGTTTTGATAAGCTAAATAGATTGAATCCTTTAAGTCTATCATAAGATACTTTCCAGCCCTTGAATCACTTTGGGGAGCATGAATACAGAGGTAAAATCTGTTTCCCAGCCCTACGCATTCTCCTTTCTGTATCCATTCAAGAGTGGCATTAGCCCTTTTTTCTAGAGCATCACACTGGGTGCTCATGTTCACTTGTTTGTCTACTATCCTTGCAGAATAGCTACTTTCCAGGATACAGCCCCATTCTCTGAATTTATGGGTAAATGCTTCAGAATAGTGACATCAGGCAGCTGTGAGCAAAGCCTGTTGGTGCTTGAGCTTGGCACAACAGGATTTTTAGATCTGAGTTCTCCTTAGCAAACTCTCTCCCATTCTCACTGTGCCTACCAGTCCCAGAGACCTCCTTTTTCTCTCTTTCAAAGATGGACAAGATAATATGAGAGCATCTCCCTAAATGCCGCAATCTTTAAAACTACTCTGCCCCTTTGTGGAGAAGTGGATCAGCACAGGTGTAGTAAGATGAGGGCCTAAAACATAAGCCCATGCAGCACATGGTTTGAGGCCTGAGGCCTAGATAACAATGGGCAAAACATGGCTAACATAAAGCAAAGCTAAGCTGTGAGCAAGAGGCAGGCCCCAGCTCACAGAACTTGGCATGAACAGGGCTGAGAGTACAAAACACTAATTGGTGCTAGGTATTTACTGCAGAACAATAATTGGTACTGGTCATAAGTGGAAAGCACATG